GACAACGGACAACTGATAACTAACTCGAACAATGTGACTCGCAGACTGAATAATAAATTAGCATGCAGAGTGCGAAATAACTAATGTTGACGAGGCGGCCTGGGTCGAGGGATGGTTTTTACAAGTTGTACTAAAAATGATAAATATTGTCCTACTGACCTTTGAATGTATTTTCACTGCTGTGAAAATCGTAACACAACTTCTTCTGCTGTTTCTCTGCAGGGTTTCTCAAAGGAAGCAGAAAGTGGGGCTGGCATGGATTTTCTTATAGAACATAAGGGTTGATTATGGGACTGTATGGGTCGTTTTTATACTTCCGAATAATTTGCTTCTAGTAAGGCTTGAATCGTCGGTACAGCACCAGGAAGAAAAATGACTGCCACAAACAACAGAATGTTCGAACGGCTTGACGAAATCGGCTATTTTCACTTGAACAAATTTCACAAATTGTCGCTTCAAATTTGCGTCATTTGGAAATATTTGCATAGTATGCCCAATTTTGTTTGAATCAGTACAAAACTGGACGACACAACGCTTTACCATTACGAAAAAATTGAATATATTGAAGCAAACTGTAAGTGAAAAAATCATGACGAGACCGGCAAACAACGGCTGTAGAAAAGACTCCTTCGTGCCTCACGCGATTATAAAACGAGACTTTGGAGGGTCCACCCGTGACGTCACAGGAAGATGGCGCCATTCAAGATGGCGAATGTTTCGAATTTGGAAGAGATTTTATAAAGTGAAAATCGACTTTTGAGAAAAAGCGAATGGTACCTTTGGTGTACTTGATATATTTACTAAACATCTATGTGAAAAGAAAATGAATGTTTTTTTGGGTTTACATGCCCTTTAACCCATCGCATGTTCGTTCCTTGTAAACAACCTGCATCTTACCGCGTTTTCCACACACAGGGGGTGAAGTCCAAATAGGCAACAACCAATCAAGGAGCCTTCTTTGAAAATCTTATCCTTTTCTCTTGTTCAGTGTATCTTCTCTTATTCGAGATCGCAATTGCGATTCAAATGAAATACACGAATAATTAGGGAATATGTTCGAAAATTAGCGCGTTGACTAACCACGGACTGCGTGACATGTCACGAAAATATGTAAAGGCAGATGTCAAGCGTAAGTTTGATATGAATCGCGTTATTTAACAATTATGCCGAAGGCGAATAATTGTTTTGGTGTAACTGCTAGGGTGCTTTCAAATTCCGTGGTACATTCGTATTGTAAATTGAAAATTGTAAACTCTGCTGCAATTGTTTGGATAACGAGTATCGGGATAAGCAGCCAGTTTTTGAACCAGAATTGAATAGGTTCACTTAATTCCATCAGCAAAACCCTCATATCTTTCTCTTTGAAAAGTGTCACGCCAAACTCGTAAACATCTTTTGTGCTGTTCAGAAGTGCATTTTCTTCTTTCAAATTTATCATTTCGCGAGGCAGCCTTTATTACCGGTATTATTATTATTATTTTGATCACCTCGCACGAGATAGAACGCAATCGTCGACCAATCAGAGCGCGCGCAACTCTATGATCACTCGGGCGGTGTGCGCACTCTGATTGCGTTGCATCATGGTCGTAAAACGAAAAGCGAGTTATTTGCATCCTGTCGCGGTCGAGTGAGCATCTCTAGTGGCAGAGAGATAGCGTGAATAAACGTGGAATGTAATAGGGATTCACTGTCTGTTGCTGTTCCTGTAACACAATCTCATACGGCTTCGCCAAACCTCAAGAAGACCAAGAACACACAAGTGGAGAAATGACACCTTTAAACTAACCTTTAGTATCACATCGCAAACAAAAGTCATTTAAAGATATCCTAATAACAGCTAAGCTTTGAGGTCAGAAGATTTAAAAAGGCAAGCGAATGGCAGAATCGCACAAGCCTATCAACACCTTTTAACGATCGATTGCCTTCTGCTTTCCGGCTTATCCGGCGTGTCGCCGTGTGCACTGTAGAGTTATTCATTGGTCTCAGTGACTCCTTTCATAGCTCTCAGTGACCCCTTTCATAGCTCTAATTCATCTGTCCTTCATTCAGTGATCAAGATAGTAGATTTACCATACAACACTCGCCATTAGAAAATTTCCTTTTACTTAGAAAGTAGATTTACAACACAATTGAGTATGCGATGGTAATGCTGTTTGACGCAACAATAGGCCTCTCCTCGGCCATAATCGGTCTCAAACACTAGCACTTAAAATGCGAGAAACACATGTACTGTTGGAGAGCTTTTGAGAGCGTTTGGTCACAGCTGTTGAAGAAGGATCAAAGCGGCCATCCAAATCTTTGAAAGGCTCCAAACTACGACGTACATCAAATTTGACCTTCTCGAAAACCGGTCTCAAATTACTTACTGAAAAACAGTGATTGCGTTTGTCCTTGTGAACCATAGAATACGCGACAAATACGTACAAAAAATACTTTAACACGTTCAGAATAAATCAAATTACATTTACCTATGGTGAAAGGAAAAAGGAACGGCCTAACTTTTACGGAATGTTCAGTTAAAATCTGCCGATTTCTGCTGCTTTCAGCGCCATTTTGAAAATGAAGCTACCACGATGCAACGCAATCAGAGTGCGCACACCGCAGTCACTAGAGCAATTACACTAAAACGATTATTCGCCTTTGACTTCGTCTCGAGGATTATTCAACAATATTCATTGAGCCTGAGGTGAATAATTCAGTTTAGTGTAATTGCTTCGGTACTTTCGAATTCTGTTGTAAAAATTTGTTTTGATGTTGGGACCATTCTGTTGCGATTACACGAATTGAGGTAAAGAGTCAGAATCTTACTCTGATTTTTGCTTATTATTAAATTCATTGCATAACTGAATTAAGAACTCTGATATTATGAAAAACATACTAAATTCTTATGCAATTATGAGACTTCGGTCTTGGAAATCTTGCGATGTTCTTACATAATTGGGTCATGATTTTACAACATTTCCTTGCACTAAGAACACTACTGAAACGAGTAGTTGTAAATAGGACCTGAAAAAAATTCAGGCCCGTACGGGATTTGAACCCATGACCTCTGCGATACCGGTGCAGCGCTCTACCAATTGAGCTAACAATTGTCTTACCACTACTCGTTTCAGTAGTGTTCTTAGCTGCGAGGATCTCCTAATTTCATCTCTCCTCCGCAGTGCAAATATATGAAATTTTCATATATCTAAAATCTTCATTTCCTCGCACATTCCAACAGAATACAGCATAACTGGCCTTTTTACAGGTTGTGAGTTGGATTATTAATAGGTCATGATTGAGAGAACCTTTTGGAAAAAGTGAAAGAATTTCATCTGGAGAGCCACTAATTCTCACGTTTTCCATCACGAGTTCAGGAAATGGAACGGATCAGGAGACTGTGTTTTGAGATATTTTCATGTCTTAACATGGAAACGAGATCCTTTGATGTTTACCGAAAGGATTGTCAATTTTTCTAGTGTCATGGTTACTGAATCTCTTCATCACAGATATGCGTTCTGCGTTCTACCTGGAAAGCATTCACCTCGCGAATTCGACGAGCTTCGGTCAAAATGGGATTATCTTTAATTAAGCAGGCGAAAATGAGGGGAGAAACGGATGTTTCTGGACTCTCGCTGAGTTGCCACACTGAAAAAAGATTAAGTACGTGGAGCACAGGAAAATGCCACAGCTTCAAACAAAAGGAATCAAGAGTTGTAACACTTTCAACAAAGCAAACGAAATTGAAAGGAGAAGTAGATATTTCTGGAATCCTGCGGAGTGGCCAAATCGAAAACACATTAAGTCGTTGGGGCATAGACAAACGTCATAGCCTCAAACAGAAGGAAGCAAGAGATGAAGCAGATGGATATCTCCTCATTCAAAACAACAATTATCAAGGAAAAACGGATGAGGCGTCCTTGCTGACAGCGGAAAAGAGGCTGCGAGAATTGAAGATGAAATGTCCACCGGGGTTCAAGAAATTCGAATCTAACGTGAAATGGCAAACACTCGACCCAGAAACCGCACTGCTGCTGTGGGAAGATATTTTTAAGCCGCTGTATACTTTTGATCTCGTAAGTAATGTCCTCGCAGAAAGTAAAACGAAAAAAAGTCAGTAGATCTAGTTTTTGACAGCTGAAAAGTTTTCTTACTCGTATCTTGACAAAATTTTTTTTTAGCCTGTTTGTTGTTTAAGCAAGTGCTTACCGATTGGAGGCAAAAGCTGAATGCCTGTACTAAATTTTCGCGCTGGGTAAGTCTATTATGTATTCTATTGTAGTTGCATTTCTAACAGTCACAGCGTTTTCTTGACGTTTTTAATGGGGTTACGAGGATCGGTGGCGTATTTAACCAATGTCGTGAAGCGTTTCTTCGCTCAAATTGATTTCCTCGTTTTATTATATTTTAAAATGTTTATCAACTAAGATGTTATTTCGTTACCGCCAAAGTAGAATGTAACAGAAAGCGTTGCGGCATTAGTTCTGCGAACGTTGATGTATCTAATCAAGTATTTATAGGTAGTTAAGCCCGTAGGAACATAGCAGCATGATTGAGAAGTAAACCCACGATTGAAAGGATATTAGTACCCACGAAGCGTTGTAGAACGTGTGCAAGCCTTGAATCACACACGGAATTACGAATCTGGGAATGGATTTCCTTAGCTAACAAGGGAATATGAGCAATATCAAGTGAAAGTATACAGTCCAAGATAACTGAACTAGCGTGTAAGGGAATACTCAGTAACGCAAGCGGGAAATTCTACGATAGCTAGGAAAACGATTTTACTGCGGATTTTGGCAAATAATATAAATAGAATAATTAATTAGTTACTTCGTTAATTAATCAATTAATTACTTCATTGCTCGGCTAAAATATTTAGGCTGTAATTGCAGATTCTGTCTGATAGGAAGTTCGGATTGTAGCTCAAATAGTAAGTTTTTGGTCGACCTCGGTCAGCCTCAGTCGCTGTTCTCAGGTGTCTCGCGAGATTTCAAATCTCATTTAATTTGAATACGTACTGTAGAGACAGTTTTAAGCCTTTTAATTAAAATTGAAGCTGTTACGAACAGTTACGTGTATTTCAATCGATTTTTACTTATGTAACTATTAGTCACGCGTGTAAAGGACAAAACTCGATTTTGATTTACCGCCTTTGAATCAAATTTCTTGTGTATAGTTTCTGAAGCTTCGAGACTAGAAGATAATAAAAAGGTTTAATCGACGATACGAGTGTGGTTCTTTCACGACTTTATGACAGAAGCAATGCAAGAAAGAAATTGAACCTTTTCTGTTTAAGTGAAATATTTACCTACTTCAGGCCTCCCCTTCATTCGATCTGCCCTTTCTATTTGTAATTTAACTCCTTTTCCCACGATTTAAATTTATGAGGTACAGTATATGGTCAGTGAATTCATGGGGAGTTGTCTTCCAGCTACTTTTTTCCTTTGAGTTCTGCCGGTGTAGTTGTCAATTCAACGCTATAATTAAATTGATATGGCGAGTATTGTTTTGCGAGAAGGCTTTAAAAACCCACAAATTACGACCAACTTGAAATCATAGTGATGCTGTACGCACAAACAAAACCACTCAGTACCGGCGAGGTAATGCTATCAGAATTCTGGTGGAGATTTGAGGAAGGTTGCATGGATGAAAGCTACTGACTAATTGAGTTGAGTGGATTCATAATTACGGATCAACTGTTGCTTGATTGCCCCGTTTTCTATCTGTTTTTCAGGTTCTATCCTGTGAGGCTTTTCGAAGTAGCTTCCCATATCGAAACCGTCAAGCTTCTCACTGTTGTGAACTGTACATCCAGTGGGCGAACCAATCAAATTAATGCAAGCTTGCAAAACATAAAGGACAGCGATTGATACAAAATGGCCGATCAGCGCACAAGTTACTGGGAGATCTGAAAATATATTAAAGAAAAGTGCATTAAGATAACTTAAGACAGCCAGTGGACTAGATATAATGATTTTGCCAGAAAACCCGTGTAGTTGCTAACAAGTGCAAGGTTTTTGTTGGTAACGTGAGCTACAGAGTGAAGTCCAGAGAACTGAAGGAATTTTTCACCCCTTATGGTAAAGTTATATATGCCCCAATATAGATATAGATACAAGGCGCTGCCTCTCATCGCTGAAGATCGTTCAATGACAATTTGAAAAATCCGCCAAATGAAACCCGCAAAATTAATCTGAGAAGACGTCCACGCATATATATTCGTAAGTTTCAACCCTCCCGTTTAACTTGTCGCCTATTTCCTTACAATATAATGGACTTACCCGACGGAAGACAAGCATCCATCAGGAGCCAAATGCCCGCCCAAGAACACACCACTCCAAATGCCAATATGTAAACAAAGACCTGCTCCAAGGCACGGTTTAATATGGAATGAGGTGGATTCATTGGGATCGTTGACAGGAACTCAGTGAACACATAACACACAATCCATATGCTGTATCCCACGATAATCAGTACAACTGATGATAGGATGAGATCGTTGTCAAGATATTGTAGTGTGGTCAAAATGATAAGCCAAGTTCCTCGCCAGTAGTTCACCACTGCAACTCCGATAATAAACACAGTAACGAAACTATTGAAGATCCTTGCGGCGATTTCACCGCATATGGTGTTCGACGTGTTCTTTACACAATGCTTTCCTTGAAGAATACTCTCGGATAGGTTGATGTGTCTTTCGTTTGAGCAATAACCCGGCATGGCAACTATGGATGAGGTAGTTCTTGTGCATACAAGAACTAAAAACCCCATTACGTGAGAAACACAGGCACTTGGAAGAGAAGGCGTCGTGATTTGATCTAAAAGCATCCATGGACCTTTCCAAGCTGCAACGGTTAAAAATGCCAGAGGGAAAAAAAGGACATGATACCACACTTCTTTTGCTTTTCTCGCATTTAAAGACTCCTTAATATAATCTCCCACCAGCATGATTAGGAATAACGTTCCAAAGCTTACTGTAAACGTAAATGATGCTCTGAGAAGTTTATCATCTGGAAAAACGAACAAGTCTAACATGTACCAGGTTGCTCGATAGTAATTAACAGCAGCTGGTGTGAGTAAAGTTAAAATGATGATCATGTTGAGAAATCTGTTGCATAGAAAGAGGAAAGACGGCATCTGGCCAAGAAGATGATTGACGCAGTTAGTTAAGCGGAAAAATTGCCTCATTGCAGGTTGGAATGGACTCTGAAAGGAATGGTGAAAATAATTTAGACCTGCGGTAGAAGAACCAATTTTACTTCCTCTGGAGGTAGGTCGGTTAATTTTGTATGAACACGATTTGTTTTGACCTTCCGATAAGATCCCACGCGAGGTGTCGAACCCACCCGGGGT